TTAGTCTCTCACAATAGTTTTAATCATTTAGCCCTAAATGCTTCATGAGTTTAATCATAAAAATTCTTAGTGATATGTGAAGTAGGTTAGCTTTGAGTCATTGCCTTAACACTGTCACATTTTTCTTCCACTCTAACTTAGGGAAAACAAAGAGGAAGCGTTAATCGACAGACTGGAGGTGGTCACGATGCCTTCCCCATCACGAAAAGGCCTGCCAGTGAAGCAGTTTGCTGTGCAGTCTCAGCTTCCAGTGTACGAGTGGCCGGACGTTGGATCTGGAGAATATGATGTTGGAGTAGTGGCTTCGTTTGGCCAACTTTTGAGTGAGGCTCTTATTCTTAAGTTTCCCTAGTAAGTTTTATTTGTAAGGAAATGTGGTATAGCAACCTTGGTCTTTATAAATGGGCCTTGTATCTAAAATGTGGTCATTTGAACTCTCTGCTTTCAGTGATTTTTTTTAATTTTTACCATTTTATTTTTGTGTACATGTTTGTTTAAAATCAGTGAATTTCTCTGCCAGGTTCAGGTAACTGAAGGGCCTTTATAAATAGTTTATATTGTTTAAATCCAAGGTATGCTGAAAACACAGTCTGAACAAGATAGGAAATAACATCTTTCTAAAGACAGGCTTAGAAATTCCAATCCAGTAACTTAAGATGTTCCCTTTCTCTGGTAACAGAGTCGATTTATACCTGGCTACTAGGCTTCCAGTCACAGATATAGCCAAGAAAACAGGCTATAGACCACAGAAAGCAAGACCAACCAGTCCACTCTGTGTTATGGTATAGGGTTCACAATTCAAATCACCTGTATTCGAAGGAAAATTTACAAAATTTTTGTAAGCTGTTTGTCGTAAGAAAAGGGATCACTGCCATTAGTAAGCCGGCAGCTATAAGAGTCTGTGTCACGTTCAGGACACATTAAAAAAGATTATTTGCTGTGAGGCCACAGAGAGCAGCATTCAATCCAACATATGCTGATCCCTGTTCAGGTAGATACCTTTCTGCTTGTGGAAGCTGGTTAAGTTTTCTGGTTATGATATCAAAAATTGTTAGGTTTTCCTTGGTAGTATCGGTTTGACGATTTCCGTCTTGAGCCTGATGCTGTCCTCCCAGCAGCGGGTGGGCGCCTCCCCAGGACTCACTGCAGCCTTCGCTCAACTCACCTGGGTCCAGCCATATTTGGCTGACATTGTCTTTTAAAGTACTAAGGAACATTTTATTTGTGGCATGAGTTGTCGAAGTGTATTTAACTCCTTATCACCCTCTATGAGCTTTTATCTACCTTCATTTACGTTTCATATATATGCTGACAACGCCCAAATTGGTCCCTCCAGCTCAGCTCTGTCCCCAAACTCTAGGCCCCCAGTACCTACTGCCTCCACAGCTCTGCTTGAATGTCTGATAGCTACTTTACATTCGAGATACCCAAAGCATCTCCTAAAATCCTTATCTCAATAAATGGCTACTCCATCCTTCTAGCTGCTTGTACCAAAATCCTGGAGTCATGCTTGATTTCTTATACCCCGTATCCATTCCATCAGGAAATCCTATTGGCTCTGCCTTCAAAATCTATGTAAATTCCCTCTGTATTGCTTGAACCTGGGAGGCAGAGGTTGCTGTTAGCCAAGATCACACCACTGCGTCCAGTCTGGCAACTCAGCAAGACTCTGTCTAAAAAACAAACAAAAAAACTTGTGTGTCATCACTTGCACTGCTGCCACTCTTTCCTGCATTACTACAGAAGCTTCCTAACTCGTCTCTACTTCTATCCTTGGCCCTCTTAGTCTTCTACCAACCCAGCTGCCAAAATGATCCTTTATTTATTTGTTTCTATTTTATTGTTTTTAGAGACGGTCTTGCTGTCACCCAGGCTGGAGTACAGTGTTGCTATCATAGCCCACTGCAGCCTCAGACTCAAGGGATCTTCCTGCCTCAGCCTCCTGAGTAGCTAGGACTGTAGTCATGTGCCACCACACCCAGCTAACCTTGTTTTTTTTTTT